GAACTGTGAGAATTTAATACTCCTGCATGCCTGTCTGCCTCACTATATGCATAAAAATGTTCATTTATCATTAATTGTGACCTAATTAAGTCATAGAAGTCATTTAAATGGCCACTGTTATTTTTAAAATTCATTTCCATGTAGAGAGGTAAACCCAGGGAACCAGATATCTATTGGAATCCTAGATGTTAGGGGGCTTCAACTGATGGATGAGAATTTGTGACAGAAAGAAAACATAGGGACTAGCCTTATCTTGAGTCTTTTGAAGGGAGAATTCAAATTGATTCCCATTTGTTATCAAATATCTAGAAAAAGCCATGAATGATTATTTTAATTTCATGTGTGTAATCTGTATCATTTCTTTAAAGGAGCAAGATCTGGTGCAAACCTTGAGCTGTTTGTCTATGATAATCACACCTGCATTTGCTGAAGTAAGTGTGGGTTATTTAGCATCCACTATCTGTCTCAAGTGGCAGGATATTTTAAATGTTACAGCTATCTTTCTTTGTCAGCTTAAACAGCAGGATGAGAATAATGCAAGCCGAAACCAGGCAATTGAAGAACTTGAGAAAAGTATTGCTGTGGCTGAAGCTGCCTGTCCTGGCATCACAGATAAAATGGTGAAGAAATTAATTGAAAAATTTCAAAAGTAAGTTGGAAGTATCTTTTTCAAAATTATGTTAACATTTGGGATGTTATTAAGATGGAATATGGTTACTTCGATGCAGCCATTCATATTTTCCTCTGCAAAATTACTTCTTAATAGTTGTATGCTTGAAAACAGTTGTGTTTCTTGCCCATCTCAAACATTGCTTTTTGTAAATGTGTGTGTGTGTGTGTGTGTGTGTGTGTGTGTGTGTGTGTGTGTGTGTGTGTATGCGCTGTATATGTACATGTGTATGTGGGTGAGCTATCTTGCACATGGGTCTGTGTAGGAAATAGGTCATTATTGGATTTGTTACCCTATTACTTTCCACCTTATTTTTGAGGCAGGGTCTCTCGCTGAACCTGGGCTTGTCCTTTTAGCCAGGCAATCTATCCAGTATCCCCTGGAATACTCCTCTCTGTCCTCCAAGGCTGAAGGTATGGGGCTCGGTCACACCTGACAAGAACATGGGCACTAGGGATCTGAATTCAGATCCTTGTGCTTGGACTTCAAGCACTTTACCTACTGAGACAGTCCAGTATGTTTAGATATGGAAAGGTAGTTTTCCACTGAACCGAACAGCCCAGGGTTTGCCCTTTCTCTGTTAGGATGAAATTTGGGCACATGTAACATTATGCATGCTTCCATTCTTGGCAGTACTCTTAGTATTTGCAGAAACGCCACTACTTTGGTTATTTCCAGTAACAAAGTTCCTTCATTTGAATGCTTATGAAATGTTGATTAAAAGATTTAGAGAAAAAAGTCTAGACCAGTTGTTCTCAACCTTCCTAATGCTGTGACCCTTTAATACAGTTCCTCATGCTGTGCTGACCCCCAACCATATAGTCACCTTCATTGCTACTTCAGAACTGTAATTTTGCTACTTTTATGGATAGTAATGCAAATATCTGTGTTTGCCAATGGTCTTAGATGAAACCTGTGAAAAGGTGGTTCAACTCCCAAAGGGATCGTGACACACGGGTTGTGAACTACTCTACTCATCTAGACAGTAATAGAGGCTTTGTGTTCAGTTTCTATCTTGTCTCCTACTAATTTGATTTTGTTCAAAAAAGTTCTTACATTTGATTTGAAATTTCTTTTCTTTTTTTTTTCGAGACAGGGTTTCTCTGTGTAGCTTTGTGTCTTTCCTGGAAAACTCACTTTGTAGACCAGGCTGGCCTCAAACCCACAGAGATCCGCTTGCCTCTGCCTCCCAAGTGCTGGGATTAATGGCGAAATTTCTTTTCTTAAACAAGACTTGTATGTATACATATATATTCATTAGCTTAAGTGAGTTCAAACATGATTGTACAAAGCTTAACATTAATCCCATCATATCTCTTCTTGTCCCATCTTTAGATTTCTTTGGCCAACTGAGCTCAAGGCAAAACTAAATATGTGGCCTATAAAATCCCTCTTAAGTATCTTCCTATCCAATAAAGCCTACTGAGGACTCAGGAGCTAAAGCATTCTTAAGATCCCCCAGATTCTTATAGGAAACTCCCATCTCTTTTCTTGTTTACAAACAGATCCATTGCAAGTTGTGAGAGCAGATGCAGGGGAATTTTTGACCATCTTTGCATCTTTTAACATCCATATTCATGAGATTCAGTGGAAATAATTTGTCTCCATTCATTGTAGAGTTCATGAGTTAGAATTATAGATGACTTAACTAAAATTACACATTGATTTATACTTTTCTTAATTTTATAGGTGTTCTGCTGATGAATCCTCTTAAGAAATTTGTTGTTGGTATTGTTGGCTTCTGTGTCATATGGACCCAGAGAAAGCCACCAAAGCTATGTCAACCTTAATGATGCTTAACCCATGAGCTCCAGGTGCCTTTTGGATTTTTGCGACATTGAAGATTTAGGAGAAGCTATTCAACTATTTTGTGATGGTGGCTATCATTTTGTATTTTAAAGAGATTATTTTGTAAGGAATAATTTTAATACTATAGTTTTGCCTGTATTGTAGTAAATGTTGAGATACAGTTTTTTTTTAGGTGCCATTATTTCTTATGTTACTAGAATGAATAGTGTTTGGTTTTCAATCTTTAGTTAACTGTACACTCATGAAACATACAGGTCTTTCAAAGTCATCCTAAATATTGAACATCTGTAAATCATCAAGCTTAAAAAAACATTCTTTTTTTTCTCTTGCAAACATTCTAAAACGACTGTAGGGAGGTAGGAATAAGACAATACCTTCTTAAAACAAATATTTTTAATAAGCTCTTGGAAAAAAACACCTAGAAAAGTATTGATTTTTCTAGTGAGGTGTTCTGGATTCCAAGCAGCTCCACGTTTATCACATTTGAGAACCTTGTGTTTGAAGCATTTCCAGGCAACATGTAGCAAAAGAAGTACCTCTTGGTGTTTTTATCTTCTCTTTCAGACGGAAAGAGCAATTAACCCTTATTTAACATGGTTAGACATTTAAAGTAATCTCATTTAGCCAAGGATGAGGGTTTGATTTAACTGGAGGAGTTTGTCTGGCTTCAATCTTTAAATCTTCAGCTCAAATAACATAGTACATGTTTGGATTTAGAAAACTTTTAACTACCTTGTTGTCTTGTGAGTAGATACCTGATTGATAGGTATGAACATAACGACACCAGCAACTTTTGTCATGGTTACGCATTTTCGTAGAAACTATTTATACGTTTTTCTTTATCATTATCCACACATAAGCATAGTGTGTTCAGTTTTGAAAGGGTATTTAAGTGAACATTGTCTAGCTCATATGAAAATACCATAGGGCACGATCATTTCTCTTCATACAAAGGTAAGATAGACTGTACAGTTAATTTTCAGTTCTATTTATGGTACTGTTGAGTGGGTGATATCCTTTTTTTTAAGCCCAGTATATATACTATGCTTGCCTAAGTGCTGAACTAGGGCTGTAGTTCCATAGTTGTAGACATGTTGGTACTGATTAATTTCAACAGTTAAGATTTTAATGTTTGTATCTGCGCATTTGATTTTTGCACAAATGATTTTTCAAGTATCTAGATAACTGCCAAATACTACAAGAAAGCTGTTGTACAAGTAAACAATACAGTTTTTAGTTGAAGTGGCCATTACATCCCTTCTTTTAAAAAAGAAATAAACACTTGAGAAGATGCAATGTCATATGCTGAGAAAATTCTTTTCCTTGGTGCCTATACTGGAACAGTTGCTTTTAATTGATTGTATTTTGACGTAATGATTTGGTTAGATTTTTTTTCATCTGCTCTGTAATTGAAACTCAATTACACGTTGTTCTCCACAATGCTCTACAAATAATTGTGTGACTTGAATCATGGATTACATTCGTATTTTTGTAAAAATAAAATCAACAAGTTCATAAATTGATTGTGTAAAACCTTACCACATAACTGCATCCCAAATACAACTTTAGCTTTAGTCCTATAGACTGTTTCTAGGTGAAGCATACTTCAGTGTTTGGGGGATTTAAAAAAATAAATATTTAAATTTTATGATCCCTGATGTTTGTTTTCTTGAGGGTGGGTCTGATTAGTTATTCTAATTGTTTAAAAATATTCTTCCTTTTCCTTTTATTATTGGAATGTAACCAAGGTTTCCATTGAAATGAAAAGTTACTAAGAATTGACTCTACTTATAGCTGAACACATATATCCTGATTTCTGCCTCCTACCTTAACAAAAATGTCTTCAGACCACCAATTCAATGATCTCCCTAATTACCATTTTAATAAAATATCACATATAGATCTGAACTTTATAGTTCTTAAGGAAAATATATATTTAGCCACAGTTTTTAAAAATGAAGATGAGATGAGAAAAAGCATATAACATACACAATTTTGAATTTCTTGTGGAGAAAATATTACAGATAATTTATAAAAAATAATAAAGATCTATATAAGTTATGTATAGGTGGTTAAGCTTCAGTATATTCTTAGTTTTAAATAACTACTCTGTATCTGTGACTTAGTGGGTTTGTGTCCAGGAACAGAAAAAAATGAGTGGAATGAAGCATATGAAAGTTGTTTTTTCGGATGTAGAGAATAAATAAGTGTGTTATCTACCATTTCTCTTATTAAATCACATATGAAGTTGTTTATGCTATCACATCACTTATTTGACATTTATGTTTAACATTGTCTTGAAAATATATTGGACTTAAGATTATCAACAAAATTCTTCAATAGTCTTCCAGGAGAATTGGTAGACAAATATTGAATGGGTCAAAAGCAGAATTTTGAGGGTTAGAGAAGTTGCTCAGTGCTTAAGAACACTGGCCACTTCAGCAGAGGACCTGGGTTGGGTTCCTAGCACCAACATGGTGACTCACAACTGTCTGTAACTCCCATCCCAGGGGATCCCACACCACCTTCTGGCCTCTATGGGCAGCAGGCATACTCATACACATAACATTTTTAAAAAAGCAATCAAATTGAGCTTCACACCGCGTTACATCCCTGTAAGTCCCAGCACACCGGAGGACTAGACAAGAGGAGCATGAGAACTTTCATTCCCCGTCAGAGCCTGGTGTCAGTGTTGTCTTTGTCTCAGCCATCCCTTATTCCCACTTCACCCTGGCCATACATTCTCTCTTGTCCCTGTCCTTTTTCCATTCTCTAACTGTCCTGTTCTGTACATATAGGCCAGAACTACCTACTTCGAATTTTATTAAAAACAAAAAGAAGGCCATACATATAACTTCTGTTTGAGTGGATTTTCCATCACTGTTTATTAAAATAACACCTCAGATCCTTGCCTACATGCATGCAACCAAGATATGGCAAAAATAAATTCCGGCAGGAGAAATTAATAAACAAACTTGCTTATTAACATTGATTCCTACCATATATGTAATAAGTAGTTAAGAAGAGAGAAATTAGAAATCAACATCATAATATCTTCATCAGGCACATTATCTGGTTTGAGAAATGAGCCTAATCCATGAATATCCAGCAGTGAGATGCTATCAAATTTTCTATTAATTCTAGACATGTTCTGCTAAGAGGATCTATGCCACTCACCTATGTATATTAACATTCTTAGTATATAACAAGACTGTTCGCTGGGTCCCCAACAAGTCATGAGGAGAGAAACCATAGTTTAGCATTACATAAGCGAGTGCACGTGCATGCACATACACACACATACACACACACACACACACACACACACACACACACACACACACACACAAAACCAACATAATCATGGACTACTAAATCACAAAGCGGCATTAGAAACCAGTCCATACACCAACCACATCATCATCGTTCTTCAGCATTGAAGAATGGCTCTTCATTTATTATATCTGCTCAAAGAAATGTATAATGGTGGTGACATACACTTCTCTCACACTGCCATAGTGCTGGGGAGAAGGCATGTTCTAGAGTCAGTTTGGAGGAAAGACAAGAGTGAAGCTCATAGAATGAGGCAGCAACTTGATCTTTCTTAAGCTGGGTACCTGAAATGAGAAGAGTCCCTTAGCATCAATTAAGAGGACTAAGGAAATGGTGTATCAAAAGGTTCTTATGTCTTACCTAAGGTGGTAACATGGAACTGGCCAGGAACATTCACAGAGTTCCCTCTTTCAAGCTAAGAAATAGTTGCATGGCTTTAGCAAAGTCCTGTCTTCAGCCCCTGGTGTGGTGAAAGAAATATCTTCATCCTCTTCATCTAGCTGCAGACTACCAGAAGACAAGCGGATTCGGGCCCTAGATGACTTTGTTCCTTTGCCATACAAAGAGTAGTAGTCTGGTTTAAGAATCTCTGATTCTGAATCACTGGACTCACTAGCTACATACCTTTCTGCTGAGCTCTGGTCCATTAGAACTGTGGGAAACTCCTGCTCTGCAAATGTACATGTAAACGGATCTGTTTTACGAGTCAAAGCAGGACAAGGTCCTAAAGGTCTAAATTCTGACCCAAAAGGAAAACGGATAGTTTTCATGTCTGATTGGCTCTGAGATCGTTTAGGAGTTTGCTCTTGAAGGCTATATGCAAATGCATCATCTAAATGTGGGTCTTCCTCCCCTAGGTCTACATTGATATTGCTCCTACCACTAGTTCTAGCCATAGCTTCTTGGAGTTCTTGAAGGTCTTGCTGTAAGCTTTTTATCCTGGTATTCCTTGGGCTCCTTTTGGCTGATTTTATTGCACTGGGATCTATACAGCTGCCTGGTCTCACATTTTCCTCTGCCATGATTGGAGACCATCTGGGTACCTGGGGTGGCTTGTCCACATAAAAAAAGACTTGAGGAGGCATAATATCAACCTGTTGACTAGTACAAGGAATATAGGGCACATCGGTGTATGTTAGCTGCCTTGCTGGACTCACTTTGCTTGTAAAACCAGGAGATGTGCTTATGTGATTGTCCACAAACTTGGAGTTTGTTTGGAAGGAGCTTAGAGGGCTCCGTTCCTCAAAGAAGTCTATGGGATCAGGGTCAGTGTTAAAGACAGGATCTGCATAAACAAAGGTGAAAGAGGAACTGCTTTGGGATGGGTGGAGCGGTGTGGGATCTGCCTCTGGTTTGGAATGCTCCAGCTCCGCTGCAAATGTCACCTCGACTGCTGAGTTCCTCCTCCTCCTGTCTAGCATAGGCTCAGATGCATGCACTCCATTCACATTTCGGTAGTAAGCGCTGCCATATGCAAGTCTCAGATCTTCCACCTTGAAAAACAAGACACATTGATATCAGATGAAAAGAAGCTGTTCAGTTGGACATGGGGAGGGTCTTTTAGTTACTCTCCTATTATGAAAGGCTGATTTCACAAAGTCATTTAAATCCATGTTCTTTTCCACAGCAGATAAATATATGTAATGACTTATACTGTGCCTCAAGTTGTATGTTAGAAAATACATGCAGCATTCTTCATTCTCAGTGACATCCTATTTCTAGCCTCCACATTTCAGGGGTCGTACAGGTACCATTGTATTTCAAGCAGTTCAGTTTGGTAGCTATATCAATGCAATAGGTGGGATTACCCCGTCTGCCTTTGACTAGCTATGTGGACCTTAGGCACTGCAGTCTAATGTCCCTACTCCAGCCTCCTCCATATTTTCTGTAAATAAAAGGTAGATGTGAATGGCCTGAGAGATTCATAATCTAGATGGTCCCTTTCATCAGTTTCCCTGATTCCTTTTGGATGAAAATCATCTGTGACTTGAGCGAAGGCATGAGAGTTTATGGTACCTACAATTAACGTTTGTAGATAGTGCCAAAGAAAAATAATCAACAAGTTTCCTGATCGAAGTCTCAAATGAAGCCATCATCTTACAGTTCCAGGGGCATAACTGTATCCAGAAGTCATGTCACACAAGTAAGCAACAATGCCATATACCTTTCTTGAAGACTTATGGTTTCCACTAGTGAAATAACACAGCTTTGAATTTTAAAATTATGAAGGCCTAGAAATGTATTAGTATCTGGAACACCAGGGGTTTCCCTTGTGCGCAGTACACAGTTGTAAATGGCCTATTAGCAGGAATGACTGTGCCAAGACCTCTCCACGTGGTAACCTCACATGGAGCGACCTTGCTACACAGTGGATGGTTCTGGCAAAATATAGTCTTAGAAGCATTTGAAGACTGGATGACTTATACTTATCTAAAATAGGACTTTTCAGAAACCTTACTTGTTTTGACACATCAGAGAGAATGTCTGGTGATGACCTGCACTGCCGTTCATGATACTGAGATGGATACTGTTTCCTGAAATCCCCAAACAGAGAAGTCATTGAAATGCTCATTATGCAAATTATAGGATACATAGATGTCTCTAAATTCAACTTCCAATCAGCATGAGAAGAGAGAAGGATAAGGGTGCACCTTTCAAACGGCAGGCTCTTTAACCTCCCCTTTTTCCCATATTCCAAAAGTTGCCTTTGAGTTCTTCCACTATCAAAAATAAGAGACAAAAAATCATTAATTCCATCATAAGCCTATGCGCCACTAAAACCTGAAAACCTCACCTTTGTTTGAAGCCTAAAGTGTCTGAATGAGTGGCATACCTTGTAACTCTCTATCACATTGATGCTATACCTACTTATCTGAAGACCAACGATAGAGCGGTTTCAACTATCCAAAATATAGGCTTTAAAAAACCCTTTAAAAAACCACCAGCTGACTCTTATTTTACATGCTTGTTCTAAGGAGGTTATTTATTTAGATTCCCAACCCAAGGTAGGTGCAAAGCAGCTACCTAAACAGTAGAAAAATTGCTGCAGGTAGGCTTATAGCAGTAAAGAAATCTAGCTGACTGCTGGGAGAAACACGAGGCAGAAAGAAGTTACAACAATAATAAGACCCAAAATTTCGGGGCCCTTTAACCAAAGGGCAAGGCCTGACATGCCTCTTCTACCTAAGGCCATTGTCACATTACAGCTGCCTGTAAAGGATAAAAAGGGAGTTTTATAAGAACTTAGGTTATTAAGAGAGAAAAATGTGCTCAATATCATCTGTTTAAGAAGACAGAGATTTGTAGAGCACACTTTGGAAACATTCCATCAAAAATATGTTTTTTAAATATCTCTATTCTTACAAGGGCAGGTTTCCAGAGTCTGAAAAATCCCTTATGTGGAAACATTATGATTAGACTTATTTTTGTAATCACTAGAGTTTTGTAAGCTTCTCCTGATGGATTTCAAGGCTAGTGTGCTCAAATAGTAACAAGATCTCAGTTCTACCTCACTTTAATTCCTCTGAGGTGGGAACTGTATTGAGAAGCCTCTAGTGCAGGATTGCTCCATCTTTTGAATCCTTGACCCTCTCCAGTATTTGCTCACTCTATCATTTCCCCTAAATGCCATTAATGGATGCTGCTGAGCCTTCCTTCAACATCTTGCGTATAAGCTGCCTTTAAGGGAGACAGTAAGTTCATTGAATACATTTTTGTTTTCAAATACCCTCTGCTACCGTACATCCTTACTGTGATTCTGATCCAGCCCCTTTGGTTAGTAAATACTGACCTAATGCAATGTACTAAGAATGAACAGTAAGGAATATTTATAATCTTTCAAGTGAGTTGAATGGATTCTTTATTGCTTCTGGAATTCAGACTCCTCCCACTGCTTCCCGTGTTATTGAAAAGAAGCAGTGTGCATGGCCTTCCCGTATGCAGTGTGTAATTACCTGTAGCGGAAACTGGAACCCTTGCTGCAGAATAGTGTTTTGGGCTTTGATTTGGGCTCTTCGGAAAGCCTGAAGAAAGCATGGTACTCCACACAAGTCTTCCAGAAGGCCTTGCATGCATCTCGGCTAGCCATGGTGAACTCCAAAGTGTCTTTGCACAACACCTGTATAAACCATTTTCTATCAAGCAAAACATCCTGCAAGAATACCAAAGACCTTCCAACCTCAATGCCTTCTAAACTGTCAGTCCAGCAGCCCAGGCAGTGTCTGGTTTTCCATTTGGCTCCCCATAGGCTCCACAGCACTGAAACCGAATGATTAGCAGCCTTCCAAAGATTAGACACTGCCTTCACTCATACACTGAGCCTTGTCTAAGAAGCTTTCCACGTTCCCTTCACCTTAAAGGCTTTTCTGCCTTGTCTCTTTGAGGCCAGAAACATTTTAGGAAGTTGTAAATTAGGTAAAAATGAATATCAAAGGGCTTATTTTTCAAGGTGGCAAGAAGATATAAATGACCAACAGGAAAGGGGAGGGGGAGATTTCGTTCCCTCTGTAAGGATGATTGAATGTATACAAGTGTTTTCAATGTCCCAGCTAGAAATACATCTTCCTCTATATACTTCCTCGTACTACAGCGCTTTGTGTTTCTCTCTTGGCATAGTCCATATTTTAATACGTCCTAAGGGAACTTGGATTTACAGTTCTAAAGCACAAGCTTTTCCCATCTTGACTCACCACATACACTCACTGGCTCAAGGCTCTATGGCACACTCCCAGCCCTCTTTTCAACAGCCCCACCAGCTCTCAGAGCTGACTGCCCCTCCTCTCATGCCTTTCCAGGTTCATGCATGCAGCCCCCGAGGCTTCCCGCAAAGTTGATACTAGGTCTGGGACCATGAGCTATTCAAATGAACACCTTTACATAATACCAAGATCTAGGCAACACAATCCAAACCGGATCTTCTATAGGCCCAAATTAGTTGATACACATACAGTTTTTTCCCTTCACGGTCAGTCATTAAAACATCCTTTCTAATACCTTTTTTCTTACCCTGTGCAGTGAACAGTCACTTAAGAATTACTGAACACCTACTCACATTCTGCTCAACCTAAGCATGTAGTTGATGTTTAATAATTTTTACTTAAGGGAAATTAGTGAAGATACTTCATAAAATATAAAAGAGAACATCCAATAATTATTTTTTTCTCCTAGATCTGGTGGCCCCCATTTGACTCATCAGATCCCTCAAAAATGCTGTCCACAGAGACTCTCCTTTCAGTCCAGCTGCCTCATTTCCCTATTGTATCATTGATTCTGAAGTGCAAATCAGATGGCATAGTGTTTTGCCTTTAGTTAAAGCATCATTAAATCTCTGCTCAGTTTATATAGAGGACAAAGAGGGGGCCCATCACCCCTCAGGGCCAGGCACCTCTCACCATTTATATTCAAATCATTTCTAGAGCAATGATGAAATTCCAAATGAACAAAAATAGAATGTATTAGGAACCTACTCACCAAAATATTAGCATGAAGTTTGATGAGAAAATGCTTTCTCTTAAAACTCAACTTTCGGATCTTAGCCCAGTTGAAAGTATTAATCTTTGTATTTCCCTATAATGAAACAGATAGCCAGTTTCAGAACATGTCTGCATGAGTCGGGTTGTGACCGAAAGTACTCTTCATGAATAAGATCCTCTGAGGCTAGCCCTTACCCAGAGAGAACCTGGAGAACCAAGCAGTGTCTGCCCTTAAGCATTGCAGGTAGGACACAAGTTCCCCCAATATAGAAGCAAGAAGGAGCAACACGGGCACTGTTAAGCCAGTCCAGTGAGACTGTAACAGAATGAATTGCTATAATGCTTTCTGTCATCTCGCTCCTCCCTATTTCCACATACAAGTGCTAAAAAGAAAAGCCCATTTCTCCTACTGCCTCATTTACTCAAACATCTTGAGGAGCTCCTCACTGGCCACATCACCAAATGTGGGTTGGGTTTTGCTGTTCAGTATACAGCCATCTCTCCTACTGCTTGTTAGCTCAAACTTCTGTGTATATCTGTGCCTTCATTCCTGTGGCCTCTGCATTCTCCCCTGCCCCAAATGTCTTCTGCATCATCAAACTTCTTCCCACTGCTGAGGGCATGCTCCCTAGGACATTCTGATGCTATCCTACACACCCCATTTCTTTCTCCTCTAAAGAATTTTAGTTTTAAGCAGACCAGGAAAACCAAAATTGTTTAGAGGAGTAGGGGGATAATGATGATAGACAATGGTACCTCAAGTTGATTTCTAACTTGAAATACAAAATCCTGGGAAAATGATGATGTAGTAAATAGCAACAGTTGCTGGCAGGATTCAACATTAATTCCCTACCAGCTGGCACTGGTAAAGAGTAATAAGTAACTGGCACATCACAGTTTGGGTCACTTAGGGTGGCCCCGAACCAGCTGGAAAGTACTACAGCCTAAGGTTTTTGGATATCTGAATCTACAGTTTAAGAGTCCCTAAGAGCTTCTTGATTTTATCACTTCACCATGCTGACCTAATCTAAAGTGTGATGGCCTCAAAACCCAGACCTCACACACAGGCAAATCACATTGTGGGGAGAAGTCTTATGTACACCATTTACAAGCACTACTTCTGGTCTAGTTGGTGATAAGATAAAGTGTTATAATTCTCTGGGGAATAGATATTCGAGTTGAAGTCACAAGAACTACTCCCAGCACACTGAAGGGAATTCAAAGGAAGGGTTGGTACCCGTAACACCAGTACTCCCATGTGAGCAACAGCCAGGTGAATCTGCATCCCTTCGCCATCACTGGCGGGCTGAGGTCTGATGCCATACATATCCAGCTTCCTTGCTATGTCCAGTAGCAGAATGTCTGATTCAGCTGGGCTCCGGCCACTGCAACAAGAAAGGATTAATGAACCCAATAAATGCATCAAAACTCACATCCCCCAACCTTTCCTCTGAGAGATACACAAGGAGCTGAGTGTTTTCTTGAGACTGAAGCTTTCTCAGACATAAAGGCTTACTTTTAAGAATCTGTCCGAGCTTTAGTGTCCTCCATTGGGAAAGCAGGTGCCAGAGAAAGTACTTACATGTGCTGCTGATGAAAGTGCATGATCTTGCTCTCTAAAGAGTCTTGGCTTGGTAAATACTGGGTTTGTACCAGATGCTTCCTAACAGTTTCTTCATGAAAGTCTCCTAATTCTGCTGTACAATAGAAAAGTGACATTTTTCACATTTCCATTGAAGTATTAAACAATGTACAATCTAAGAAACCTCCTGTTTGCTCCCCAAAAGCCTTTACTCTGCAGCTGGTGTAGCCCAATCCCCTCCCACCTTATGCTTTGTGTATATTTCTGTTCGTACAGGGGAAAACTAATGGACTCATTCTCACGTCACAAAGCAGTGGCTTTCTGTGAAGTTTCAGCCTGTATCGTGGGTTACACAACCAGAACAGACATTAAAAGCTCCAAAATCACACCTGAATATTTTGTTAGGTTTTTCCATCTTCTATCCTCTTTTTGCAGTTTTGCCTACTTTCAATTAGCCCCTGTTACAGACTGAATTTTGTCTATCCCAAATTTGTAAGTGGAAATCCTATCCCCTAGTGCTACCACATGTGACTTCATTGAGGAATTAGCTTGTTAGTGAGAACTGCAGTCCAGCCTTACTAGTATCCATTTAAGAAGAGGAAAGGCAGGCACACCGAGATTTTTGGGATTAGTACACAGAAAAAAAGAGATGATGTGAAGACACAGTAAGAAGACTGCCTTCATCAAGCTGACGAAAGAGGCTTCAGAATGAAGCAAAGGCATTTCCAATGCCTTCAGCTGAAACTCCCAGCAGGCAGAGTCGGAAGGAATCAGTTTCCTCATTTAAACCACCTAGTCTCTGGCATTTTCCTACGAGAAAGCTAGTAAAAAATTAATACATCCCCAAATAAACTATCAACTAGAGTACAAGCCAGCTACAGCCAAGTCATCACTCTGTGCTCTGGGAATTTAGTAAATCCTCAACATTTTGAATCCCCAATAGACAAATCATCCTTTCCAAATAGCTGGCAGTTTATTCGTGAACCTCTTACTCTTTTTCAGATGTCTCCAGTTTATTGGTTAGAGACTACTATTACAGAGATTAAACGTGCACTAGCAGCTCCGCACTTACAATTTTCTACCCCTACTTTAAATGGCCTTAGACTTTTTACATTTTGTCTTCTTTGGAATTGTTGTGTTGCTTCTGTGTCTAAGATTCAGAGGAGCCTCCTTTTGCATTGGGCAGCTGTCAATGCAGAGACTCCTAAGTGGTCAAAGTACTGTAAGTAAGAGATTAGGTGTCCCGCCCTAAATGGACTATCCTTACCACCACCATCGTTGAGGGAGCAGAGAAGAATAAGGAGGCAGAGAGAAGAAAAGGACTGGAGGGTGGGGAGGAAGGAATGCTGTGAACTGCTGGCTTCCGAACACTCCAAGGCTAGTGCACTATGAGCTCACAGCAGCTTGATCGCCTGCACAAGATCACACAAGCCAAACTTCTGGTAGAGATAGAGGAGTGGCCTCTGGGCCCCAGGCTTTACTAGGGAGCTACTGGCAGTTGATAGCTGCTGGAGAATGGAGAATCATTCTTCTTTGAGGGTGTAGCCATTGGTAGATATCCTGTGTTCTGGCCCCATATCCATGCACATGGGGGCAGCACTAACTGGACTCAATCAAAAACAAAACAAAACAAAATAGAAGACAAGGACTTGGGAGGGGGTGTGTTGGGGGATACACAGGGAATTGGAGTGGAGAACCAGCAGGGTCTGACCATATTTCATTGTAGGAAATAACAAAGAGTAAGAATAAGAATTAAAAAATGATAGTTATACAGGTAATGAGATATTTCTTTATACCTACTATGATAGCCATAATATCAAGTATTAGGGAAGGTGGGGAGTTAGAAGCATCAAACTTTCTTGATCAAAGAATGAAATAATGCAGTGATATACATGAATTTGTACAGTTAATTTTCATTGATAATCATAGTTATAAAGTATTCAGGGGAAATGTATCACGCAACCCAGCAATCACCTTTCTAAAAACATATACAGGAGTTAAGAAAGTATATATAATACAGAAACATGTATGCCAATGTTTATACTATTATTATTAATACCTAAACTAGAAACTTCCCTAACTCTAACAGACAAGGTGACTAGATGAACAAAATGTAATAAATCTATAAAATGAAATATTATTCAACAATAGAAATGAATAAACTGGGATATGCAGAGATTTCAAAAAACACTGTTCAGTGCAGAAGCCAGATACAAAAGATCACACATAATTGTTCCATTTATATGAAATGTCCTAAAAAGCAAACAAATGTATAGAAACAGAGAGTTAATCAGGAATTGCCTGAATCTGAGGAGAGTAGAGAATGGCAAAGCAGCACAACTTCTCCCCCCCCCCCCGTGTGTGTGTGTGTGTGTGTGTGTGTGTGTGTGTGTGTGCGTGTGCGCGTGTACACATATCCTCCCCTTTCTCTGTCTCTGTCTCTGTCTGTCTCTCTGTCTCCTCTCTTCCTGTTTTCTATATTTTTAGATAGGCCTGGAACTCACAGAGATCTGCCTCCCAAGTGATGGGATTTGGGGAGAGTGCCATCATCCTCAGCTTTTTTTGCTATTGACATAGGGTCTCATATAGCCCAGGGCAGCCTAGAACTCATCATGTTGCTAAGATGGCCTTGAATTCCTGATCCTCCTGCCTCCACCTCCCATGTGCTGGGATCACAGGAATACATAACCATGCTCAATTTATATGGTGCTGGGAATCAAACCCGGGGCTTCTGGCATGTTAGGCAAGCTCTCTACCAGCCAAGTTATATCCCCAGCCCTGAGAGGTTTCTGTTGACATTATAAAAATGTTCTAAAACTGGACTGTAGTTATAGCTAGATGGACAAGAACTTACTAAAACCCACTGGTTTGTGCATTTTAAATGGGTAAATTTTACAGCATGTAAATTACACCTCAATTGGGCCATTTTTTTTAAGAATACAGTGCACACACACAATGTGTGTACATCTTTCAGGTTTCTTAAGAACAAAACCCTATAATGACTATAAGGAAAATATAAGAACACATGAGATTTTTAATTTCCTCTCCATGTACTTCTACGACAATTTAGCAAGAAAATTGGTATCATCAGTAGCAGAAGCTGCCAAATGTTATGCTCAAATGTTACGCCTTTCTGCTCCAACTCCAATCATCTCTCCTAAAATCTCTTATTGTTCTATCTACTACCACCATTCCCTCTATGTTCTAGATTTTACCAAAGCAGCCAATATGGTTTTGTTAAAACCTAATTCAGATTTTGTTCTTATATTTAAAATAGAGGCCAAGAATCCCTTCCTATGAATGTGCTTCTGATGATTGAAAGTAAATGTTCTTTTTCTCTTACCTCAGTCTTCTGTCTATATGACTTCCCATCTCATCTAGGTCTTTAATGTACTTTTAACTCCCCTCTACTTACTCACAAAGGCTCCAGCTAGCCACAAAACCTTCTTGATATTTCTTAACCACTCCAGGCATGTCCTCCCCTCCGGGCTTTTTCACAGAGTGTTCCCAGTGTGTGGGCCTCTCTGTCACAGGACTCCTTGGCTTACTTTGTACCTCCATTCGACTGTCACCTTTACCCTTCCCACTTTATTGAAAGACCCAGTGCCCACACCTAGAACCACCCCCCTCTCCCTTCTATGCTCTCATCACCTCTGAACATTCATCATATATATTTTTCTTACTTTGGTCATTGTCTGACACTCTTGCACTGCCAAAATGTGAGCTCCATGAAGATAAGGATTGGTGTTGTAGCTCACTGTGTGCTCGCAATGCTTATAATAGGATCTAACAAGGTGGCACTTACCATATTTTTTGTTGTTTAATGACTGACAAAGGATTATATATTATATTATATGATATTATATTATATTACGAGTTTCTAAGAAAGAATATTCACTGAATCACGTAAATCATGTTTGGTAGGGACTGTCTGGCTAGAGGTGTATAAAAGAGGTGTGAGTAATAGAATGCCAAAGCCAGAATGCTCAGGTTCTTGAATGTCTCGCCTGTAGCAGGCACTCACCAATATTGGACCAGTGAGAAAATGGAGAGATAAATGAGCAATTAGACTGTGATTCTGCGCATGACCTTGAGTCCTCTGAGTCTGACTGGGATTGACTGTGAAATGCTAACTCACTAGCATTTTTCTCCACAAAATGAATGCTGACTACATACCTTCTGGAAAAGCTGAGGTTTTCTACACTGTACCTGAAATGGCCACTAGGCAATGCCCAACTCCATAAGGCAGTTACGAATAAAATTGGCCTCCCCCAAAAGCAGTCACCTGGAGCCCCACCCCCTCAACTGCTATCTAAAGAGGTAACTCATGGAGAAGGATGCTCCTCCTATCTGCTCTACCCCATGCCTCGTATGTCAGTGGCAAGTATGATACTGGGCACATGGCTTATGCTCGTGACACTCAAGACCTTTCAACATGATGCTTCATTTGTCAGTATGTCTCCTAGAGAGACACTGTCCCTACGCTATGTGTGGTCATTCTTCATCCCCTGTATATGAGGCTTCTTGTCTCACCACCATCTTCACATTCAATTCCCATGTATTCCTTTAAGCTCCCAGACAAAATCCATCCCCTCCATCAGCTTTCCTTGACTCTTATGGCATTTTTCATCTGCTGCCTTTCTGAGAGTCTGGAGCTCTCTTTTCCCAGCTGGGAATCACTTGATAAACTGCCTAGGATGCAGTCCCTATCCAAACACTTCACTGTGGTGTTCTCAGCAAAATCTGAAATCTACCATTTATGGACTAGTAGGAAGGTAATGAACAAAGGTCAGAAATGAACTTATGAAATAAACAAAAAACCTGAAGCTATGATTCTGCAGAATTATCAAGGAACAGTGTATTCTTGGGAGGCCTCTTCAAAATAGAAAAAGTCCAGCTGGTCTTCGAAGAGATGTTATCTCCCACTGCCTAGACCCTACCCTCCAGGCTGCAGGAACAGCATGGCCTGGCCTGTGTAACTCCCTCCCAGGCAGGCCCCCACTGTTCCCCAGACCTCCTCCAGTCTACCTTCAAATCCATGGTAAGAATTATTCAAACCAGTTCCTGGACAGCAAGTCAAGGGACAGTGACAGCAGGGTAGGTAGACTGAGGTAGGACAAAACCAGCATTTACTTTTAACACTCAGAAGCACCTTCTCACTGTTTTAAATACAAGAACATTCCGACTCAGAGAACTGAGTTTGCTTTATAGTAACGGTAAGGTAGTAGGGGCAAGATTTCATTCAGCTCGCAATGAACGCGATAAAGCACCACTTCACTGGGTCTGAGCTAGGTTCTCTCTCCTCCAAAGGCTGAATATAGTGCCAGGCAGGCAAATTGGAGATGCTTCCTTCCTTTGCTTGGCTCTATCCCTGGTGAATGGGCCAAGAAGTCGAGTATGGGTACTCACATTGTAAGATGTGTGACACCATCAACGCTGTACAGTTGTCACTACATGGCAGCCTTCCCAGAGCCAAATCCTTCTTTATTTGAAGAGTGAAAAGATACCTGAAAAGGATTTGAGGGAAAGATCGTGACGAAGAAGCAGTAATACAGAAGAAAAATTTCCTTTCTCCCAGACAGAAGATAATTCTAGGAAGGAACAGCATCCAGTCAATTGGAGGCCTTTGTGGCATGGTGAATCATGCATAGGCTTTGCTTCAGAACCCATCCAACCCTAGAAGACAACTGGCTGACTCAGCACATTGGCAGGTTCTGCAACCATTAGGAATTGCCCTGGCTCTAGCCTGCTGCCAGCTTGAGGGGCTTGGTCAATCCTCTTCTGGTGCTTTCTGCCATGGAAACAACCACATCCTGAGCTAGAGAATTGGGAGCCTCAGCAAGCATGATCAGACTCTGGGGGACACGAAGAGCTGTCAGGTCGGCAGGGCCATAAGAATTCTAGAGGCTGGTGGAGCAGGAGCAATCACTCCATTTCACAGTGATACCAAGACAGGGCCCAAGCCATTCTGGCCACGCTGTAGCACTCTAAGATACTGGAACTATGGCCAGAGTCTAATACCTGCCGCTGAATGTAGGATACCCACGCAAAGTGCCTATTTCAGGAATCAAGGCTATCAAGCCCTGCCTGTGCCTACCCTATTCCCTTGTCTGGATTGCTTTGTTACCATCAGCCAGAGCCCATTTGAGTATTTTACAAACAGTAGATGGGAAACTAATGGTTGATGAGCTTAGCGATGCAGAACCTTCATCAAATGCAGGTTTGTGTTTAGGGCTCTGCTGAGCTGAACATTTGTCACACACACTTCAGGCCTTAGTAAAGGAGAACTCATGTGTGTGTGTGTGTGTGTGTGTGTGTGTGTGTGTGTGTGTGTGTGTGTGTGTGCTTACTCATATGTATGTGTACAGAGGTCAGAGGACAACTTTGGGTATCAGTCTCTGCCTTCCACTTTATGTAAAACAGGATTTTGGACATTAATTTAGCTGGCTTGCAGGCTTCTAGGTATGCCTCTCATCTTACTGTAGAAGCACTGGGATTCGGATATGCCCCATGACCAGCCTTATGTGGGTTGCAGGGATTTGAACTCGGGTATTTACACTTATGTTGCAAGTGCTTTTCTACTGAACCATCTCTCCAGTCCCATGGCCCGCTTTTTTGGTGAATAAATGTATAAGAAAGATTCCACTGTTATCTGCTTTCTTTTCCAGAGCAAAAAATCATTTCCAATATTTTATTTTATATGCAAAAACCTGCACTACCTACTGTGAGTATTTCCCTATATAAAATAGAATTTTCTAGATTAAATTCGATGTGGATTTTTCAGTAGCTAATGCCCTGAAGGCAATGTAGTAAAAGATAACTAGTTGCAGGTGATAAATGAAAATCTGGTCAGAAGATTCTTGTCAAGTGATTATTAAGCTCATAAAAGCTTTAACCATTATGTCCCTTCAAATTGTGAGGACCTCTAATGCACTAGAAACGATTCAGTCAAAACAGTTATTTTTGTATAATATTCTCAGAAGTCCATGCCTTGGCCCCAAACAAGGCATATTTTTAATCTCTACAAGAGGTAGGTTTTCTTTCTTTCAGTTGTTGCTGCCAGGTTGTTGGTTTGTTTGTTTTCACCGGGTCCCACACTATAGCCCAGGCTGGCCTAAAATTCCCTACATATCCCAGGCTACCCTCGAATTCACAGCAGTGCTCCTGCCTCAACCTGTGGAGTGCTGTGACTGCAAGAATGAGTGAGCACACCCAACTCAGTTAAGTATTCTGCAGTGGAACAACAAGGACAACTTAAGGGACCCCAACATTTACCATCGCCTGTTTTCAAATACAGATGTATATGATATTAATTAGTCCCACGACAAAAGCAAAAGGGAACTGAAGTTGGTTCTTAGCAAGGATAAAGGGAACTTTTGTCATCTGATTGTCCCTTGCTGGGAAGAAGGCAACATGCTGCCTCAGTAGTAGTGGGTTATCACTTAAGAAGGCAGCTGCCTGCTACAGATCCTTACTCTGAACAATCGATGAAACATGTATCATCAAATTAATTTTTCTCGTATTTCTGAGAGGGTTCATCTCCATCAAAATTGGTCATAGTTTAAAACCCAACTACCAAGAGTTCGTGAATGCAAACTAATTTACATAGCAAGATATCAAGCTATCTTGGCAAGTGGTTGACAGCAAAAAACTGTGGAGAGACCTAGAAGAGGGAGGCAGGCAGCTGTGCAAAGATCCCACACCAAAGGAGAAAGTCAACCTGCCTCACGTGGAAGGGAAAGACGCCAGGGAGATGAACTCCCAACAACCTGTGCTTTTTAACTCAGTCAACTTTGGCTTCCAGGACATGTTCCTTGTTTGTAATCTAAAAGACCTAGATCCTTTCTATGTGTAGCAGACTCAGTTAGAAAGCAGAATATGTTTTTGGAGAGTTATAACACAATGTCATTTTGCTGAAGCAGTTTTTCACTGCAATTATAAAGAGCATTTTTCATAAGTATATATCGTCATTGCAGAATGTTTCCCATTCTGCCTATGGGATACATCCATAAACACATTCATTTGCAGTGGTCACGGGCATTAGCTGGCCTGAAAGCTATGCTGATTGAAACACAGATGGCATGGAACAGCATGCATATTATTGTGGCAGTTAATGGAATAAGCTTCAAAATGCCACCCAGGTTTGCCACTCATCCATTCTTAGTTCTGAAATTTGGAGAGATTAACATTTGGGGGAACAGCCAGATCCTCCCTCTTTCTAGCCCTTCACTTTGTCTCAAAGAGTGACTTGAAACTAAGCCATGCAAAAAGGAATCAGAACCCTTTCTTCAATAGCTGGAGAATGGGTATTCTCAAGTAACATCATTCAGCACACACACAGTTAAACACTTTACCTTGTGAGTTCTTCCCGAAGGTGTCCAGGGTCCACTGGGAAAAATTTCACCATAAATTTGAAAACAACCTCCTTAGGATCTTAAAACACAATATCTCCATAAGTTTTATTAAATGTTCATTACAACAGTTAAGATCACACACACACACACACACACACACACACACACACACACACACACACACACATGCACGCACACACATGCACGCACGCTCGCATGCTCGCACGCACGCTCACAAACACACAGTGTCCTGCTTCCCTCCTCTCTTCATTACCCTTTCCCATGACTTATTTTACATTTCAGTTTTTCACATGTATCCCGTTACCATTTCTGGATTGTGACCCTATGTGTATAGCAACTGAGAAAGTCCTCCAACTCAGCCCCCTTTCACACCCTTTCTCCCTTTGGGTTTCTTTTGTAAAGATATGTCCATTGAAGGCCTACTCTGTCCTTTCTTAAGAAGTGAGTCATTCAGAAAGATGATTTACAACTCACTATCTGTGAATGTTCAATCTCGCCTGAGGAAAGGGCCCAGGTTCCCCTCAGGCACATGAACGAATGTTTTAAAGATTTCATAAAAAGATTGAAAAACAGGGCAGACCAATGTTTCTATCAATCTTAAAACATACCACAGAGAAACCGCATCTACATATTTTCACACCTACTTGCATTTGAAAATGAGAAACTTGAGGCTGGGGGTGGAGTTCACTGATAGGTTACTTTGCTAGCATGTACAAGGTCCAGGGTTCCATCCCCAGTACCAGAAAAAAAGAATAAAGTTTGTTAGATCAAAAGTAACCACACACAAGTAGCAACAGTGTCATCCATTCAATATATCTTTTCTGGGTGCCCTCCATGGGCAGATACTGTGGAAATTTAAAGATACTCAAGTGCTCCCAGTCTCTTGGAGAGACAAATAGTTAAACAGACCAATCTGAGTACCACACAGCCTAGGTTGAGGAAGCCTTCCTAGAGGAGCTGACATCTAAGTAGGTTAAAAGAGGTAGGAACTGAAATGGTTAGTGGCAGGGACAAAACACTTGCTATAGAGTCCAGAGCTTTACGCACCATGTTAATAAGGCTGAACTTTAGAGGTAATTAGGGAGCCGTGGAAGTGTTTTAAGCAGGAGGGAGATGTGGTCAGATATATCTCAATCGATCCCTTGGAGAGTAATATAGGTACTTAATTAGAGAAAATCAGTTCAGAAGCTACCGGAATTGTGTGACGTAATCACAGAATTGGGGGAAGCAGAGTCACAAGATGCATCAATATGTGAAGAGTGGAGTGGAACCAAGGAACCAGGAAGAGAGACTGAAGCAAGTTTTCCCAAAGCGTTAAGACCCACTTGCAAAAAAAAAAAAAAAAAAAAAAAAAATGCCTGGGGAATTAGCTAAATGGGCATGCCCCCAGACCCTTGTCCCATGAATGAGGATGAATGAGGTCCAGTGTGAGATACAGGAATCATTCAAACATAAACTGGAGCAAATGGCAAAGCTTGTGATGGCGTGAAAGGAAAGTCTTCAGGCAGATGTTGAACATTATCGCAGATTGATGCTAATGGTGCTTGAAGATCCCCAGGGCCCAGAGTGAGCTCTACGCCTACATGCAGTCCGCAGGTGGCATAATTACCAGAACTCTTCAGATGCACTCCAAGACCCAGTAGCATGAGCTTCTTCATCTCAGACAAAATTAAGACAATTTTTTTCTATTGCTAAACTTACTGGACAGATGAGGGCTGATGCAATCTAAGACCCCCTTCCCATTTTAGTAAGGTGAGGCAATGCATGGGGCTAGAGGGGGATTTTTCAAGCGTGAACTGAGGACTACATTCCTTGAGTGATCTTCCATACTTACTTTTTACTTGCTTTGTTATGGGCTTCAGAAGTTCCAACCAAACCTGTAATAGCATCAGTGGAACAATTGGTAGAACACATTGGCAGTGAGCACAACTTTTTTCTTTCTTTTTTGGTACCAGATAAAGGTCAACATCAAATGAACAAATGCTGGGACTGTTTAGATTTCTAAAAATACGTGGAAACAAACAGCCATGTCAATGAGATGATGTCCCTTCACCATTCTCAGCCAGCCCCCTCGTAGTTTTCCAATAACACTGAACACTGTTGATCTATAAACTCTGCATTGTTGACATTCCAATCACTGCCTTGGGAGGATGATGGAGGTATCACAGGCAAGGCTCATCAGTGGCTATGAAGACTCATAAAGGCATTTGGTTTCACATTTGAGTCCTACATTCCCCCTACCCTTACCCTTGCCAATGCCCACTTAGTAATAAGACTTTCTGGGAAGGTGCCAGATTATAGATATGCCAAGGCAAGATGTAGCAGAAGAACCTTCCGAAAGGTAGGGCCCCAGAAACAGGGAAAGAAATCTCCCTCAACAGTCATGAGGTCAGGAGTCTTAATTCTGGGGGTTAAGGTCCAACCATTCAAAATAGATAAAGCTTTGATAGCTGGTCAACGAGTAACAGAAAAGGATAATGAGGCGAAAGAATTTGTTTGGCAAACCAAGATAGCTTAATAAACAAAGCAGTGGGAGGGAAGACAGTTTTAAATACAAGAATTTTGCAAGGTATAAATAGGTTTTGCATTTTTAATTTGGGATTGAGCCTTATGTACTTAGGTGCAAACTGCATTTTGAATCATTTCTAGACAAAGAGAACCCCGTAATAAAACCCACTTACATTATTTCCAGAATGGCTGCAGAATTCTAATCCAAAATATTCCTTCTCGGAAAGATTGAGGTGACTGCAGCTCAGGTTAAAGAGTGCCTTTCCGGATGATTTTTGCTAAACAGAAGAGATTACAGCGCAGTTTGAATCCCTAGCATGTAACACATGACAAAGGGGAGAAGCCCCACTGTTTAGAGAACCTGCAGACCACCTAAAGATGTTGAGAGCTTTACAGATACAGACAAATCTACCTCCACGTGCTTTTAGCCACATCCCTAAAAACTCCTCAGACTAATGACAGGCCCTCTTGGAAGAGATAGCTTTGCACTTAACTATAGCTAGATCTGCACATTTATCCTTCACATAAAAATTCTTAATTCATTTATCGCAGGCAGCTTAAATTATTTCCCCCAAACTGACAGACGGTTTAATCAAGATGTAAATCGGACCCTGCCGTAGCCCTACTTCAAATCCTTCAGGGGCTCTCCTTCACTGCTTAGGCAGGGAGGCTGGCAGCTCTCTCCTCTCACTTTGCCTGCTTGCCTCTCCAACTGCATTTCTTGCTCCCTCTCTCTTGACACACTGCTCGCTACTCATCTCAGCCTGCTTGCAGTTCCCCTGACATGTCAAGTCGCTTCATGCCTCTGTGCTTCTGCTCACGTCCTTCCTTCTCCACAGCCTGTCTGCCCTTCCCGTCTGTCGTTGGTTTGGCTTACTCCAACTCAGCTCAGATGTCATTACCCAAGAAGAGCTTTCCTGACGCTCTCTGCAGCAAGTTAAACCAAAGGTGGCCCCTGAGTTCCCAATCCCCCTGGCTCACCTCAAATAGGGCACATCTGACCAGCCTTTCTTTTCTTTGTTACTCCCCAAGTCTAGCTCAGAACTTGATATACAGTAGAGGCTTTTAAGTGGTTGTTGTTTTAACAGGAAATTGACCAAATTCACCATAAGAGTTCTTTCAGTAAATTTCATTTTGCAGCTTTGCCCACAAAATCTGCATACAGCATATTCTGTTTACATAAGACACATACACTTTTCTTCATAAAGCTCACACATGCTCTGAGCACAAAGCGGTGCCTTTCTTCGGCTTCTCTGGGAGCAAGCGCTTTGAAGAGGGCTCTCTGCAAATCTCGTTGAGCTCAGTGTGGCTGTAATGGCCACCATCGCTGAACTCAAGAGTTGCTGTTGCGGGGAAGATGGCCATGGGAAAATTGGACTCTGGCTGATCAGCACAAAAACATGCCACTGAAAACCCCTAGTTAAAGCAAAGTCACAGGATGCCCAGAGTGCTGAGAGGGAAGCCAGGTGTGGGTGCACAGAGTGGAGTTGGAAGTCACTGAGCCATAGAATTAACAGCAACTATGAGAGGGCAGAGGTCACCCTAAGGCAGCGGCACACGGAACAGAGTCTACATCTGGGATTTAATAGCTTCCAGGAAGGCAGCACACCTCCCTACCACTTCCCCCACTGACCAAAAATAAGATCCTCTCCCCCAGCCTTTTCCTCCTTCAGTTACACTGCACAGAACTCCAATTTAAGATTCATTTGGGTTAACCAGGGTCCTATTTTTAAACTCAAATAGGCCACAAAGGGCAAAAGCGATGGCACCCCCCCTCGCACCTGGACAGAAGGCTGCCAGGCTGAGGGAAGACGAGCTTGATTTGATGTGGGAGATCATGTTGAAGCTACTGGCCAAGAGAAAGGAGGCAGGCATGGAGCTGGAAGTGGGGGTGCAAAGGGCATGGGGGGTGTCTAGTGGGAGAAGAAAGTGCTGGCTAGGGGGATGGGAGTGGGGGTGTGCCTATGTGGCAACCTTGCCTCCGGCAAGTGCTGACACAGACCATTCCAGACAGATGAAATCGCTCCTATTTTTAAAGTGCTCCAGACAAGGAGCTGCCACGGGATTTTTATTATGAAGAAAAAAAAAAAGAATTTCTAAAGAGAGAGGGATGACAGCAATACTTTTTCCAACACCATTTCTATCATGAGGACTAAATTCTGTCATAGACTCCAGTTTCTTCGCAAACAATTTTCAAAGCTTCAGTTTCTCTCTCTCTCTCTCTCTCTCTCTCTCTCTCTCTCTCTCTCCCTCCCTCCTTCTCCCTCTCTCCCTCTCCATTCCCCCCTCTCTCTCCCCCTCTCTCCCTCTCTCTCTCCCCCTCTCCCCCTCTCTCCCTCTCTCCCTCTCTCCCTCTCTCCCTCTCTCCCTCTCTCCCTCTCTCCCTCTCTTCCTTCATTCTTATTCTGATTTTCCCATCAGGACATCTGCTCCCTATCAACACTACCATACTCTATATGTTTGTATGTATGTGTTTACTTAAATCCTTGTGTAGTCACAAAAACTATAAAGCCATCCATGGAAGGGTTTCAAACAAGGCTTTCCTTTTGCTCCCTTCCTTCAGCTCCCCTACCATGTTTATTACTATAACCCACCGATTCTTCCATCCTTGCCAATGTTGCCAAATGGTTCTTGAGGCCTTTGGTATTTTTGCAGTTGGCGTCTGGGTGCTCTTGTGGCTCAAGCACTCCACCCCCATCTTGGGGCAGGCATTTTTTCCTCCTGGTGTGCGTTGAAATTGGCCAGCCTTGTGGAATGTGGTACATAATAGGTAGGATTTGGGTTCTGTCTCAACATGCAACCTTTCATTTTTTTTTTCTACCGTTACGATCCAGTTCTTCAACATTTGTGTTCTGATTTTTTTTCTCAGAATATCTGTTTATATACAACTTTTTTATCTTTTACTTTAAGACTTCCAGTTTTCTGTATAATCGTCTGCTTGTGTTTAAGATAGCACATTATAACATTCTAATCAAGCTCCTTTGTAGATCTAAAGTCTCTGCCTTCAGTCAGTCTCCTTACTCAAGAAACCGAGGCTCCAATTCTGATTCTTATCTTGGTCTCATCTCCCTTGAACAGCAGCAGAGCACTGCCTTCTAAACAGAACTTTTAATTTGGATGTAGCAGAAGCCAAACAGAGTTTCACACACTAGACAAGTGCTCTACCACTGGGTTACATCCCTAGTCCTCGTGTTATTTGAAGCAAATGTGTGAGAACATAGTTATATAACGTCCAGTTCACTGGGTCATAACCACTAGCACTGAGGTCTGGAGGCTCCAAACTCAGCATCTCATGGAGGCACTAGTAGTCCAAATGCTTAGTTCTAAAATCCAGGTTAGCTGACTCTCTTTTTACCTACAGTTGTCATAACCAGTTTGTTCAAATCCATCTGGACTGTAATCCTTTTCTGCTCAATTTCTGACTAGATGAATGGAAGCAAGGATACAAGTCAGTGGATAGCTATGTCCCAGCTTGATAATCCACCTTAGTTATTTTGTTTTTAGTGTGTGTGTGTGTGTGTGTGTGTGTGTGTGTGTGTGTGTGTGTGTATGCACGCGATGTTTGTGTGTAAGAATACATAGGCCACAGCACAGGTATGGAGATGAGAAAACAGTTTTTGGAGAGTTGGAGTTGGTTCTCTCTTTCCAACTTTACGGAGTTTCTGGGGCTGGAACTCAGGCTGCCAGGCGTGCATGGCGAGCATCTTCTCCCACTCAGCCATCTCACTGTCCCACTAAGTTGCCGTATTTGCTCTTCATCACTTTTGACTTTGTGTTTGTTTGTTTGCTTGCTTGAGGAAACTGACTACCTATGTAGCCCAGGCAGGTCTTGAACTCACAGTCTTTCCTGTCTCACTCTCCAGAAGGCTAACCGAGATTATAGATGTGTGCCCCTGTACCAAGCTTCATTCTTTCCTTTTTCCAAATGTTAAATGAACTCTCCACCAATGAAAACTGGGAAGCATTTTGAAAAGAATACATCTACCAAGGGTCCAAGGGGGAGTTACAAGCATGGGATGAGCACCCATCTTGTACAGGGAAATCAGCACATCATGGTAGCTAGGTATGCAGGATTTGCAGTCCAGATACACCTAAGTCTAGTTCTGACTCTTCTCCCAGGAGAGGGGTTATTTTAGGCAGGCTGATTTGTCTATCCTGAGCTTCAGGTTCCCTCATTGGAAAATTGGATGGTCAAAAGCCAGACACAACGACCAGTTATTATATAAGTCCATTAATGTGAACTATCTAGACTCAGCAAGTCCATAGAGACAAAAAACAAATTCAGGGTTTCCATGGGCTAGGGCCTGTGAGCAATGAATGGCAATGACTCTTAATTTGTACCAAATTTCTTTTTGTGATTAAATGTCCTAGGATTAGATAGGGTTTGATGGTTGAGCAACATAGTGAACTATTACAGACCATTTATTTGTATACTTTAAAATTAGGAATTTTCTAGTATTTGAATTATGATCTTAACTTCAAGAAAAATTTTAGTGAGTAGCTCATGAAAATATTCTTCTGAAGTACTTAATATGGTACCTGTCTCAAAGAAGACAGCAGTAAATGCTGACTATTTATCCAGTGACCACATAATTTATCAACCATACTCGGATACTTTTAAGGTTGACAGGGGCCACTAATAACAACTGCAGTTGCACAAGAGGTCTAACCCAGGACTGTCTTGAACAAACCCTGGTGTGTGGTCACATACCTCTCAGCATTTGGACCGCTTACAAGATCCGTTTTCACAGAAGGAGTGTTTCTTTGTGTTATCAGAATCTGGAAGACTGGGGCTCACATTCATGATTAGTAGGTTTCCCACAGTGGTAATTGAACAATTGATCTTTTGGTCGCTACAGCCCTGTGCCTCCATTTCCATATGGAAAGCCTTTGATAAGAGAGCAGAGAAGTGTTTCACTGGTCTCACCCTTGTCCTCAACACTCTAACACTTCAAAGGTCCAGCTCGCCCCTCCTTTAACATAGTCCTCTCTTCTTCTTCTTCTTCTCTTCTCTGCTTCTTTTGGTTTACTTGATCTTCATGCTGTCCATACGCTAAGCTTATTTCTGACCCACTTGCCTTTGCCATTGTATACACCATTACCCACCATGACCCTTTCCGTCTTCTCTTCAGTTCAGTACACATTGGTGAGACCCTACTCTGGGCAAGGTGCTTTCCTACTGCCCAGTGAGACTGATGTGAGCAACACACAGGCATTACTATGAAGGAACACATAGACTGACTGACAGGCAATGTGGGCACGCTGATACTTAATCACA